TTTTTTTAGGCTTTTGGGCAAGTTTGGGGAAGGGGAGGATGCAAAGGGACGGGGAGCTGCAGGGAGCTGCAACCCACCAACCCCAGCAGCGTCAAAAAAAAAAAAAAAAAAAAAAAAGAAAGAAAGAAAAAGAAAAAAAGAAAAGGAAAAAAAAGGCGCGGAGGAGGGAGAAAGAAAATAAAGGGGGAAAAAAAGGAAAGAAGAAAAAAGGTGTTATGGTTCTGGAAAGAAGAAATCAAGAACCAGAAGTACGAACTTTGCGCGGAGGCGGCCGCAGCTGCGGAGGCTCCGGCGCGGAGGCGGCTCCGCTTTTGTTCCGCGGGTTATTTTGTTTGTTTGTTTGTTTGTTTGTTTGTTTAATTTCTCCTCCTCTTTTCTCCCTCCCTCCCTTCCCTTGTCCCTCCACCTCCTCCTCTGTCGGAGGAAAGGGAAAAAAAAAAAAAGGAAAAAGAAGGGGGGGTAAAAAAAGAAGTCCGAACACCCCAAACCTGCTCCTCCAAACCACACATTGGGCTGCCCAAAGCTGCCCTTAAYTGCGCTAAGTCCAAGGACAACTGCACACAGGCAGGCTCCGAAAGAGCCACAAAGAGGCGAATTAATTACTATAACTTCATTAACATAGGTCGCCACGTTAAAATGATGGAGCCGGTTCGTGCCCCCCCCACCCCGCGTTGCCAGAAGTGAGGAAAAGTGTGTGCATGGCTGGAGGGGTCTCTCCTTCCCCCCTGCCTGAAATGCCTCCCGTTCCCGGGATCCTTCCCTTTTCCCAAAGGTTTATTTTTAAGCTCTGCTTTAACCGGGAGGGGGCCAAGACGGGAGGGAAAAGTTGGTAGCAGAGTCGGGGCACAGCTCCATTCTATACCATACATACATATATATATATATATGTGTGTGTATGTATAAACACCCCCCCCGGGATGGTTCATTTCCCCGGGCTACCCCTCGGCCCCGGCAGGCGCTTCTTGCGCGGCCGCGGAGGCCAGGCCGGGTCCCCTGCGCCTAAAAAAAAATAAATTAAGTAAAATAAATTAAAAAGCACTTATATATTTTAATATTTTATTGTTATTATATACCCCCTCCAAGCCTTGTACCACCCCCTCGGGGCAAGACGGCAGTGCAATCTCTGCTGCCCATCACTTTAATTATGCACTGAGTTCATGTGCTCTGGTCCAGAACGGGTACCTATATATATTCACACACACACTATATATATATATTAAAAGTGGCTCTTTGGATGTATATTCTCGTGTCATCTCGACGGCTGCTCCTGCTCGCCCGCCTGTCCCCCCGCCACAGCAGCGGCCTGTTTTTTCCTCCCCCTGTTGTGTGTTTTTATTATTTTCCCCCTGGCTTAGATGTGTCAATCACTCTCTCCCTGCCATTGGTTGGAGAGTTTGCGTCAAAAAGTTGCCAGAGAGGCGCTTTCTCAGCAAAGCTCCCCGAGAGAGGTAGAGACCTCAGCTCCAACGCACCCTGCACTCGGTTTTTAAAAATAAAAGCACTCGAGCAGCTCCGGCACCCGCCACCTCTGTATGTACCCGGCGCGGACCTCGAGCATCCCCGCATCCCTCTCCCGCTCCATCCTTCCTTCCTCTTTTTTTTTTTTTTTTCCTTTCTTTTTATGATTTTTTTTTTTCTCCAATTTCCCCCCCTCTCCGGTGCATGCGGCGAGCCCCCTAACCCCGCGCTTTGTGCTCTCTCCCCCAGCCCAGCCCCTGCCCCGAATTTGGCGAGGAGCAGGGCGAGCCCCCGGCGCCCCCCGGCTCCCAGGTAAGTGCGACCTACCCGGCGGCTTCGTTTCGATTTTATTCTATTTATTTATTCCATTTATTTCATTTTCCTTCTTCGAGGGCGGCGTGTGTGTGTGTGKGGGGGGGACATTCGCCGTCGGGCCTTTTCTCTCCGCGGGACAAAAATAAATAATAATAATATATATATGCAAAGATATATATATATATATATGTTTACATACGGTGGGAGGGAAGCGGCCCCGCGGGGGCGGCCGCTMGCCCCTTGCGCGGAGCCGTCGCGGGTGTCGCCTCTGCCCCGGGGCCAGSGGCTCCAGGAAAAGGCGAGCGGGTAATTGCGGGGGCGGGGGGGCGCTTCCCGTGGATCTTCTCCCCGCGATTTATTCCACCCGCGTGTCCCCCGTGGGCAGGCGGAGATCGGCGCGGATGCTCCGCGCCCGGCGGCCGCTTCCCCGCGCTTTCCTCGGGGGCATATAATAAACACGCGCATAATACACACACTCACATATATATACATATATATATATATATATATATATATATTTTTTTTTCCGGCCTGATCCTTTGCGCTTTTACTCTTGCCTGTCCCCGCCGGGACTTTCGCACATAAACGGGAAGAAGCGCCTTTGATTCCCGCGGCGCCTCCCTCGCTCCCGAGGCGGGCGCGCAGCAAAGTAAATTCGCCCAGGTGACCGCGAAGAAACATTAATAAATAATATAAATAAATAGAGAAAATAAATATAAATAAATAGAGATATAGAAAAATATTTWWWWAAAAAAARKKGGRAAAAAAAAAGAGGTTGAGGTTGGAGCTTTCCCCCCCGCTCCCTCGTCATTCCCGGGCTCGGGAAGCGCTTCCGAAGGGCGCAGGGCCGCGGATAACGCGCTGCGCTGCGCTGCGCGCCCCGCCGTCTCCCCGGCCAACTCCGAGCGCGCAAGTTACTTTAGCGCCCMGCGCCCCTTTGCTGCGCGGCTTTATTCGCACGTGGGAGCCGGCGAGGAGCTACGCTTTGTTGTTATTAATTATTATCACTAAAAATGACGCAGCTCAKATATATATACATGCATGTATCTGTCTCTCTCTATATCTATATATATAGATATATAMAAAAGCAGTTTAAAAGCAGCGGAGGGAGCGACGGGGCAGGCAGCTGCGCAGGGCCCAGGCGGGGGGCGAACGCGGTGCATCCATCCCTCCCTCCGCGGAAATAAATAGAAGAAAAAAAAATACGTATTTTTGAAAATGCTGCAAAATCGAGCTTTTACTAAAAAAAAAAAAAAAAAAAAAAAAAAAAAAAAAAAAAAAAAAACACCTCTTTTTGGCTCTCTGCTCTGCGGCCTCCCTCTCTCCCCTCCCAGGCCCCCAACTTTCCCCGCGGAGCGCGGCCGCATTTTGTTGCCTCTCGTTTAATGAGCGCGAGCGCTGAGCGGAGCCGCGGCCGCGGTGCCGTAATTAGGGAGCGTGTGCCGCCCGGATTATCTCGTTAGTTTATCAAGAAAACATTTATTATAATTAATTCTCGGACGGGGTAATTATTATCGAGCGAGGGCAGAGCAACTGGTAGGCGGCATCTCGGCGCGGGGGGGCGGCGGGGGGCGAGGTGACAGATTGCGGAGCGGGGCCGTTGCTCCGCGCCCGCCTTGAGCTCCAAAACACTGTGGGGTTAGGTGCTGTTTGCTTTATTTTTTACTATATATATATATAGTAAAAAATATATATATATATATATAGGGGGGGTTTGCCGTGGTTCCCCCCGCCCCGTTTTTATTTGTTTTTCTTTGGATTTTGGTGGTTTTTTTTTTTTTTTTTTCAGTGCGGTGGCGGGCGCGCAGCAAGGTTGCACCCCGCGCAAGGTGCGCGCCCGCGGCCCGCGCGTCCCGGGCAAAGTTTGGCAGCGCGTTCCCATAGGAAGGAGGGCGCTGGGACGGGGCGGGCAGCGCGCAGGCCCCTCGTGGGCGCGCAGCCCTCCGCGGTTTTGCCTCTGCGAACTCGCCTCGMGAAACGCGCGATTCGGGGGTGGTTGCGTGGAAAAGTTTTTTTTAAATTCCGCTGTGCATATATTTATATATATAATATATATATTTACCAAAGCTTTCCTCGAAAKGAGCGATTTTTTGAGGAAAATATTTTTTAAAAAAGAGAAATAGTTTAAAAAAATGAATTTTCGGATAGAACCGGCCAGTCCGACCCTGTGAAGCCGCGGGCTGGTGCCTTTGTCCACCTTGTCTTGAAGGGGCCCGTGAGGTTTTGGGGAAGGGGGGCACTCGAGTCGCCTCCTCCTGCAGCTGCGGAGAGGGGGCCCCGGCGTCCGGGCCGGGCCGGGGGGCAGCCACGCAGCGAGCTGTTTGTTTAGCTTTAGCGGCGTAATCAAGAGTTTCTTGAAAGCCTAATAAATCTGTTACTTGCCTCCAAATCTAATTACCCGCGGTACTAATTAGGTGCAAATGGCCGGTGGAAATTACTGCAGACGGGGAGCGATGGCGGCAGAGCCGAAAAGTTTGGGCTCTTCCCGAGCGGGCATTTGAGCTCTGAAATGCAGCAGGGAAGAGGGGGGAAAGAAGAAGGGAGAGGAGGAGGAGGAGGTGGGGGGGAAAGGTTTGAATGTTGCCCAAACCTGGGATAATTAAAGTCCTTGCAAGAGACGAGGGCAGAGATAGGTTTCTTGAATTGTCCCTTTGTTTCTCCCCCCGGGGCTTTGTCATCCGCATTATTTATTTAGCCGGGGGCTCCTTTGTGGCGGCCGATGGCCCCAATCAAGTTTGGCTGGGGACAATTAGCCGCTGGCCGGCCGGGGAGCCCATGCAAATGCCCGCGCCAGCGATACAATGCGAGCAGTTGAAGGCATGGGGGGGTTTTGTTAGGCTGCAGAGCGGGCCGTAATTACTGCAGGGGATGTCACAGCCCCCTCCCCGCCACCCCC